TCTGCGGGTAGGGGGGCAAGGAGCATTGGGGGGCAGGATGTCATTTTCTTTTCCCTTTGGTGCTACCAGAGGGGGAGGAAGTAAGTAGAACAGGTCCTCACCCAAGCCTCAGGTGGCCGGAGCAGTTTTGCCCTGCCAATCAAGCAAAGTTTTGCCAGACCCACTCTGTGCTTGTTCCTTTGTTTACTTCCTCCTTTGTTTAGTTCTGAGGTCATTTTCCCTAAATGTGAGCTCTTCTCTTCATGCCTGTGGTGACTATAAAGCCTTCTGGACTATGGGACCTGGGCTTTGTTTATCCAAGCCTGTCTTCAGGGCTTGATGCAGAGTCCAGTACAGAATGAGAGTTCAACAAACATTTGAACAAGAAATTCTCTTTAGCACGCAGTACTAACACGCTCTGTGCGCAAGACCCACAGCCAGCACAGTGAGCGTGCGTGTGGGAGAGGGGCATCCACAGGTGACTGGGGCGCCTCCACCTCGCAAGGTCACAGCCAGGTGAGGGAGAGGAAAGGCAGCTACTGTGGTGCAAGCGGAAATGAGGTTACAGGTGACGAAGGTGTACAGACGGCACACATTATCGAGTCTCTGAGTCCGACCCGGCACTTGGCGCGTAGTAACAAATGCTTGTTGGTCAAGTGTCTGTGTTTTAAACCCAAGAAAGACTCATCTCTGAGTGGTGTTCTGGGTTTCTAGCCTCCACACTTCTGAAACTAGCCAAACCGCTCTGGAAGCTGGATCCCGTGTGGCCCTTCTCTCTCCAATCTTCACAAGGGCTTGAATTGGATCCAACAGTTGCTCCCCTCGCCTCCCCCAGATTCCGTGGCACCTCGTGCCCATTCCCAGGAGCCCCTGGGGAGGACGTGTAGCACCCACAGCTCAAAAGGCAGAGGGTCTCTCATGAGCAGCCCAGCCCGAGGGGCCTTGCCACAATGATTAGTGGTTGTGATAAAGCAGGTGTTGTAAAATTATTCTCAGGTGGAGCCTGGGCTTTGTTCTGGAAAACTCCATCGCTGCTGTCGATCTATAGAGCCAAGGGCCCCTCAGCTTGGCCCACTAAGGAAAGTGTGAGAGGAGTGAGGCGAAGGGGAGGAGGCCACATTGACTCTCGCTAAATACAGAGCTAGAAAGGCCTGGCAGAGGTCTCTCGATGGCTGGCTGGTGGTGGTGAGGGCGAGAACATGGCACAAGGGGCCGGGGTCTGGTCTGGAGCCACTGCAGGAGCCTGTGGTAACCGGAAAACCGTGAGTAGAGTTTGCTGCTTTGCTTTAAACAATTGAGGTGATGTTGCCAAAGGGGGAGATTTCGAAATCCGAACCTTGTTGCAGAAGTTTCTCGGCAATTCTCTATTCATTTGACATTAAAATGTGGTATAAATAAACAACCCTGGGTAATTTGGAAATTCAATAACATGGGGAGGTCCCAGAGGAGCGCCAGGGGGCCGCAGGGCTGAGACCCCCCCAGGTCTCTGTTTTCATTGCTGGTTTGCGTCCAGGAGAGGGAGTGCATGAGGCGTCTTTGGTGCCCCATGTGTGGGATGTAGATGGGGAGCTGGGAGATGTGGCGGGGGCGGGGGCGGAGGGGGGCGCGCGTCAGTGAGACTCTTCTCCAGCGTGGCCTCGGAACTTGGCCTCCGAGCTGTGAGGCTTTTTGAGAAACTAGAAAAAGCTACGGATGTGCTCGCCCACACATACTGTGTCCGAGCACAGGAATATACGCAATTTCAGAGGCTTCTTGGGCCCCCAAGCCCACCCATGGGTCCCTGAACGCTTCATAATTTCATCGCTCCCAGTGGTTTGTTCCCCCTTCACCTCCAGAATCAACTCGGAGCCCTTATGACGGTGTTCAACCCCATCGTCTCCCAGTGCACGTTTGGCCCCAGGCACAAAGGACGTGGGGGTGGGGGAGGTCCTGGGCGCCAGGCCCTGGGGCCTGTGTCCCTACTGTGTCTACTTCTCCCTCTCACAAACCCCAGTTCACCCCTCACCTTTCCCTTGCACTGCCTCTGCATGAATGAGGTCCTCCCCAGCCCTCTTGAATGCAAGTGATTGTTCTCTCCTTAGCATTTACAAAGTGCTTGGATTTTGTTATATTTGTTGGATGATGAGGCTATTATTGTGCCTCCATGTAACATTTGTCCATGCCGATGGAGTCTAAGCAATTCGAGGGCAGGCATGTACCCCACTCCAACACGTATGCCCCATAGGGTACAGGGTAAGGTCCAGTTTTGAGGTTTGAGGGGGTTTAGGAAATGCCAGAGGGAATAAAAGATAACGACAGAGACACCCAACTCTTCAAGACAGACAGGGATCTGGGCAGAAATGGGGCTGTTAACCACAGGTGCCTGGAATCCTGCAAACCCTAGAGGGGCTGGGCTCTGCGTGCCTGGCAGGCTGAACCCCCGGCCCTGACACCTTGTGCAGGGCCGAGATGCAAAGGGAAAACTCGCAGGTCACAAGAGGACATGAAATGGATTTAAAAGATAGATGATTGTAGCCCTGGTTGGGTTGCTCAGTAGGTTGGAGTATCGGCCCACAAACCAAAAGGTTGCAAGTTCAATTCCCAGTCAGGGCACATACCTGGGTAGTGAGTTCCATCCCTGGTCGAAGTGTGTATGAGAGGCAGCTGATCAATGCCTTTCTCTCCCATCGATGTTTCTCTCTCTCTCTCTCTCTCTCTCTCTCTCTCTCTCTCTCTCTCTCTCTCTCTCTCTCTCTCCCTCCCTCCCTTCCTTTCTCTCCAAAATCAATAAAAACATATTCTCAGGTGAGGATCAATATAATAAAATAAAAATAGATGATTATAGTATGCATTCTTTGCATATGGCATTGAGTAAAGAATTCTCTGACAAAAAGCTACTGTTGTTCATATTTCATGTGAAACTCCAGCCTCTTTCAGTGTTTTTGACTCTTAGCGTCTCCCTCACTTTTCCCTAAACCAAGGGCTTCTTTGCTCTTCACCAAACAATTTCGGCCTTGTTCTCATTTTTTGCTTGGGATGTTTAAAATGCTCTCGGGAAACAGTCCTACCATTCAGAAATTCCAAATATATCCATGGGCCTTTATTATTCTTCAAGGTTACAGGAATTTTCCTTGGAAATTATTTGAATTTTAGTAGAATTTTTTGCCTTTCATGTCTCCTCTTGCTTTGAAAATGAGTTTTGGTAAATCAAAGTCTCTGAACTTATATTTACTTATTTTAGTTTTTGCCACATTTAGCATGTCTAAATAGCTCTGTCATAAAAAAAAAAAAAAGGAGTAGTTTCAGGCCCTGCCCCTAAATTTCCTTTCTGAGACTAACTGGGCAAGGTCTGACAGTGCGCTGCCTGTTTCCTTCGGCACTTAGCTGGTGTCCACATTGACAGGCGGCGCCGACTGAGCGTTGGAAAGACATCTTGTGGCATTTCTTTTAACGATCCAAACAAATCCTTTAACGTCGTTCTAGCTTCCGATCCCAGCTTTGCAAGTCAGACCCCCGGCATGCCACATTTCACAAGCCTTTTCTCTCTGTGCTGAGACATGCCTCCAAAGAGAACAGAATAGATTCACTGTGGCATGTGGCAATGATAGACCGCAGGTCAGAGGCCCAAGGGGGAGTGCAGCCGGGCTCACTCCGCCGCTGACACTGTGGAGTGGAGTGTGACAGTGTTGGTCCAGTGGCCTCTCCCGTGCGGCAAGTGTGTTGGCTCCAGAGCTGCCTCTGCCTCTCAGCAATCTGTCCTGTGCAGGTGCAGCACAAGCTGTGCAGGCCCACCTGGAAGTGGATTCTGGGACAAGCTTCCAGGCCACCATGGGGACCCAGGAGGAGGGACTGTGGCATGTCTCTTCCCGGGAATGAGAGCACTGCCAACCCCCGTTAGCCCTTACAGGGCAGAATTGAAGGAACCTCAACAGGATGTATGCAAATGGAAACACATCTCTCCTAACACTGCACTGCAACCGAAAGGGGGCCCTGTGTCCCCTTGGTGGATTTGACCAGGTTTGGTAGGAAACTCACAGAGTTGGGAGTCACGTGAACTGAGGTCATCATATGTCCCCCTTGAGTAGCTGGGTACCCTTGGGAACATCATTTGACCTCTCTGGACCTGTGAAATGTGGATGATGATGACTGCTCCACTTCCCTCTGGCTTGCTGTGAAGGGTGAGAGAGCTGATGGCTGGGAAACCATCTGGCAATCTATAAATGCTATGAAGCGAAGGTGATGGCCTGATGACGGTCTGGGGCCCTGTGCTCTGAGAGGGTGCCCTGGCCTCCAGGCAACTACCTTGTGGCTTGTGTTTGCAGAGATATGCGGCTTCAAGGTTATTTCTAGAGGCCCCTCATCCTGCTTCACCTGGGACCATGGCTGAACCACCCTACCCATCTGTACTCCAGGGCTCCCTCCGGAAAACAGTCTGCTACCTAACTCCACCTGTCTTAGGAAGCCCCATCAGAGCCAATTGAGTTCATTCACGGAGTTAGTGTTTGTTGAGAGTCTCTTTTGCCCAGCACTTAGGTAGAATCACAAATAAAAGAAAACTCCTGCCCTAACAGAAGAGACAGACAAGTGATGGGTCAGCTCCAGGGCAATGCAATTGGGTTACAAAAGAAAAAGGGGGATGCTGCCATGGGAACCACCATGAGCCTTCCACTTGAAGGGCAGGATTTTAGGGGATCTTGCCAATTGAATCTCACTGGCCCTGCTGCAAGAACCCACACTGTGCTCATCTAGGGAGAAATGGTGAGAGCAGAAACTGTTCACCCTTCCCCCACAAGCTTGGTCTCCACGACACACAGAACCCCAGGAGGAGACGTTTCTGCACTTCTTACTGTCTTCTTAGCCAATTGTCCAGGGAGTGTTCTGAGCAGCCCAAAGCACACCAAACATAAGGCAATGTCACATCTGGGCACTTTGCTAACGTGCCCACTGACAGTCGTTACTCATTGGGGCCAAAGTAACATTTAGCATTTACAGTGTTTGATAAGGTGATGGTGAATGATCAACCCACAGCACACCTGGGAGAAGTCAGGAGTGGCAGGTCAGCCTCTCCTGACTCACTGACCCAGTGACTATGCCCAGCCACACCCCAAAGCTGGTGGAGAGGTCTCACCTGCCTGCAGCTAAGGGGAGGACGTCATCTGGACTCTTGTCAAAGGTAGGGTAAGCAGGGGGCACTAGATCGGCGGCCACAGTGCCAGCCAGTTATATAGAAGTGATTTCTTTCATTCATTCATGCATGCATGCTTTCTTTCATTCAGCTGGGCCTGGTGCGACATAACCAGGAAATAGCTTATTCTTCCCTCCTCCTTTCTCTCATCACTGCCCTTCCAATCTGCTCTACCCAGTCTTTCGCTGGTCACCATCTCAGGCAGACCCCATAACTATTCAGTCCCTTTCAGGAGCCAACCAACAGTCCTCATTTCAGAGTATTAAAAAAAAGCTCATTCCAAAATACATTTAAAATTATTTCCCATCCAGTGCAAAGCTAGTTTCACATCCTGCAGCTCAGGCCTGACCCAAACACGAAAAGATTGCACTGCTGTCTTTTATTATTATATTTCTTGTGTTTCATTAGCTGCTTCTGACTCCCTAAGGCAGAATGGAAGAGAGCAAGAAGCAGAAGTGTCTTTTTACTTAGTGGTGTCTGCTGGAATCTAGCCTTCGGTGTCCTCTGAATGCAGATGCGTAGGCACTGGTTCTTTCTCTTGTGAGGCACTTCAGCAGGTTCCTTGGACCCCACCCACCCAACCCAGGGCCAGGGCCTTGCAGAGCCTGGACTTGGAACGGTGCCCTCTTTGGCTAACTCTTACAACTCCCCTTCAGCTCCAGTGCCAATGGGATGCCCCCCATGGCAATTAATGTAAGTTCACTTTTCCCTGGCAGTCAGAGCCCTTGGCTGGTCCTGTCAAGAACACCCAAGTCCAGCTCCCATCCTTAGGGGCCGTGTGGGTCCATTGTCCCGCAGGCTCTGGAAGTGCAGGTCTTGCCCAAGAACTTTGTTCCGCAAGGCAGCGGCTGCTGAGCAGACCTGCAAGACCTGCAGCTCAGCCAGCACCACCAGGAAGGGGGAGGCTAGTCTCTGCCTCTGGCTGACTCCCCGCCCTCAGAGCTGTCCTCTTGGAGCCATTCCCACTGGTCCAAGAAGCACTCCCCCAGTGAGAGGAAAAGGAAAGTAAATGCGCAATACTTGATAGAAATGCCATACAGTCCACCCAAATCTGTCTGTATTTATATCTCTTGTTCTGACCAATTCTTAACACGTCTTGCCAGGATGGAAGCTGCATCTCTCTTCCGAACACAGGACTGCTTGTTTCTCATCTCAGCTTTGGGCATCAGCAGAAGTCATCAACAGAAAAAGTTCAGTTTAACTTTGTTATTCGTTTACAATATTTATTCAGCAAACACTTACCCAGCATGTACCCCATACCAGAACTGTGCCCAGGTGTGCCCAGTGTGAAGCAAAACTGGCCTGGACTCAGCCCTCTTCTCGATGTACGGGGTGGGCCCTCCAAGGCTGGCCTCCTGAAACCTTCCCAGAATGTCCAAATTTGCTTAATCCGACATCCTATCCGTTGGAACCTGCCGTTCAGCACTGGCGCGTGGCTATGAAGACAGTTACCACTTCATGTTTGTGACAGGGGCCCAAGTTGTGCAAGATCCTAATGTGCCCTTGGAGTCATCACTGATAGCTTAATCATTGGAATTGTTTTAGTGTTGAATATATTGTGTTGATATCTGATTCTTTAGCAAGTACAAACTTAGTTATGCTTCTCTTTTAATACTAAATAGACACATGCTATAGGGTTGGGGTGGTACCCTAAACCAGAATAGTTGCTAACTCCTAACATCCCAGTTTTTGACCAGACTGGGTTCAACTATTTTCCTCTCTGGTTATGGAGCAGTTCATAATTCTAGAAGCCGTGTAGATGCATGTGTGTGTGTGTGTGTGTGTGTGTGTTGCCCACTGTTTGTGTATTTCCTTTTATTAGAGTGAATTTTCCTGGTCTTTTCTATTTTATCCTCCAAATAAAAGTGCCCACTTTCCTGTCTTAAATGGATAACTCATTGAAATATTTAATTGAACTTGATTTTTTAAATGCAAAGTCATGTTTTTAAAACACTGCTCCTGCTCTTGTCACTGCCGATTGAAAATTTTCAACTTAGAATGTCTCCTTGTTTCTGAAGTTGGATTCTATGTGTTTTGATTTTTCGGGAATTCTTTTCATCTCAGTAACCTCAGAACAGATGAAAAGTTTTGATCTCTTGTGGGGAAAACACCAGAGAATCTTCACTGTTGCCAACTCTTACATTTGAAAGTCTTGCGTTCTAACTTTGGTTCCCTGCTGTAATATGCCCATTTTGTTAACCTTATAAATACAATTTTTCAAGAGCAAAGAACTCCCTTTATTATGCCTAATTTGCATACTAGCACATAGTGCACATGTTGGCAGATGATATTCTAGAGGCCATTGAAGTATGAGAATAGCCACATACTTGCAGATGTGTTATGAGATGTGCCCTATTTGTTACTTAGTATTTGAAAGGCAAAAAATAGGCACCTAGCAACAGCATGCCATCACTCAGGGTTAGAGAAAAGACATTCTACACCCGGGGTAGATGACCGCCCCTTGGGGGGCTGTCAGGCTTGTCTATTTAATTCCATAAAAGATCCTTACAAGGAGACTCAGCTGTTGTTTGTCCACATGCACGATGAATGACAGTGAATGACATCCCCAAAGGGTGGCTTTGGTGAGGGGTAGATGGGGTTTATTGGGAGTTGCCAGACAGGTTCATAAGTCAGTTCTGTGTAGAGAGACCCTAAGGATCCACTTGAGAACTGTGTTTTCCCTTCTGGAAACCCACCATCCTTCCTCCTTTTCTTCTCCCCTGAGTGGATTATAGGAGGGGGTACCTGCTGCCAGCACCCAGAAATAAGGATCCAGCACTTAAGACCCATTCAGGACCCACCTCCCCCCCTCCCCGGCTATGAGGGAGAGCACCAAAATGCTGAGCCCACATTGACATCCAATTGGATTGGATTTCCAGAAGGTTCTCTTCTCACACTAGTTGGGACAAGTAAGAAGTACCAGGGGGAAAGCAAAAGTGATCAAGAAGGAAGGAAATATTTGGAATTCAACCTTCAGCTGGGGAGAGGTGGCTTGAGGGGCAGGTGCTTGTGTCCGGGTCAGGGCAGGGAGCACTGCAGGGCGCAAGGGCATCCGCAGACCTGCGGACCCCCGCGGCCAGTTCTGGGGCTCAGGCTGAGCACACACAGCCCTGCCCTCGGGCAGCTCCCCTTTCAGCAGTGGGGCTTAGCAGCCAGGGAGCACCCCAGAGGAGGATGTTTCTCTGTGATGAGGAGACCTGAGAGCAGGCAGAGCTGCACATATGATCAAGTCAACATCTTGCCTTGGAGATTTGGCCCATGTCATCTAAACTGGGCTGTGAAGTGAAGCAATGAGGGGGACTTGCTTGCGTGGGGAGGACCGGGCTGGAGGGGGGAGATGGACTTCCCTGTCTCCTTAAACACAAGAAGGAAAGAAGGGGGTAGGGAAGGAGGAAGGGAGAGAGGGAGAGAGAGAGAACGTGCAAAAAAAATGGTATCCGTGAGAAATAGATAGTGGTGGTGATGGGACAACACAATGAATGGACTTAATGCTACTGAATTTTATATGCAATGATGGTTAAATGGCAAATTTTATATTATACCTATATTACCACAGTTTAAAAAACAGTATAATAGACCAAAAACCACTAAACTGTAAATTTTATTTTTTTATTCTTTTAAAAAAATGTTCCAATTGCAGTTTACATTCAATATTTTATATTCATTTCAGGTGTACAGTATAGTGGTTAGACAATCGTATATTGTACAAAGTGATCCCCCTGATATTTCCCAGCTGGCACCACACACAGTTACCACAGTATTATCGACTGTGTTCCCCACGCTGCACTTCACATCCCGTGAGTGTTCTGGAACTGCCAGTCTGTACTCCTCAACCCCTTCAGCTTTTTCACCAGCCCCCAGCCCCCCTACCATTTGGCAACCATCAATCTGTTTTCTGTATCTATGAGTCTATTTCTGTTTTGTTTGTTCATTTATTTTGTTCATTAGATTCCACATATAAGTGAGACAATATGGTATTTGTCTTTCTCTGATTAATTTATTTCATGCAGCATAATGCCTTCTAGATCCATCCGTGCTGTCACAAAGGGTAAGACTGAGTTCTTTTTCTACGGCCAAGTACTATTCCAGTGTATATATGCACCACATCTTCTTTATCTAGCCGTCTACTGCTGGGCACTTTGGGCTGCTTCCATATTTTGATGATTGTAAATAACACTGCGGTAAACATAGGGGTGCATATATCCTTTCGAATTAGTGTTTCAGGCTTCTTTAGATATATACCCAGAATGGAATTGCTGGGTCCTAAGGCAGTTCTATTTTTAATTTTTTGAGGAACCTCCATACTGTTTTCCACAGTGGCTGCACCAGTCTGCATTCCCACCAACAGTGCTAAAGGGTTCCTTTTTCTCCACATTCTAGCTAATACTTGTTATTTGTTGACTTATTGACAATAGCTATTCTGACAGGTGTGAGGTGATATTGTGGTTTTTAATTTGCATTTCTCTGATGATTAGTGATCTTGAGCATCTTTTCACATGTCTATTGGCCATCTGTATGTCCTCTTTGGAGAATGTCTGTTCACGTACTCTGCCCATTTTTTAATTGGATTGTTTAGTTATTTTGGTGTTGAGTTTTATAAGTTCTTTGTAAATTTTGGATATTAATTCTGTATCAGGTATATCATTGGTGAATATATTTTCCCATTTCGTGGGTTGTCTTTTCATTCTGTTGATGGCTTATTTTGCTGAACAAAAACTTTAGTTTGATATAGTCCCATTTGTAAATTTTTCCTTATTTCCCTTGCCCAAGGAGCTATATGAGAAAAAAGATAGCTATGGGAAATGTTTGAGATTTTACTGCCTATCTTTCTTTCTAGAATTTTTATAGTATTGAGTCTTACATTTAAGTCTTTAACCCATTTTGAGTTTATTCTTATATATGGTATAAGGAGGTGGTCTAGTTTCACTTTTTTTTTTTTGACAAATATCTGTCCAATTTCCCCCAAATCATGTATTGAATAGACTGTG